CCGGCCGGCCCCCCCCCCCCCCGTTCCCCCTGCAGCCAGTGCAGCGGCGCAGGCCCGGGCCCACAGCCCGGCGCCAGCCTGGCCCATGGCGTCAGTGCCTCCCCACTGGCCTCACAGTCCTCCTACAGCCTCCTGAGCCCGCCCGACAGCGCCCGCGAGCGCACCGACTACGTCAACTCGGCCTTCTCTGAGGACGAGGCCCTAGCCCAACACTGTCAGCTCGAGAAGCCCCTGCGGCACCCCCCACTGCCCGAAGCTGCTGTCGCCGTGAAACGGCCACCCCCTTACCAGTGGGACCCTGTGCTGGGTGAGGACGTTTGGGTCCCTCAGGAAAGGACAGCACAGACTGCAGTGCCCAACCCCTTAAAACTGCCCCCTCTGATGCTGGGCCAGGGCCAGCACCTGGACGTGTCCCGAGTGCCCTTTGTCCCCCCCAAGTCCCCCGCCAGCCCGACTGCCACTTTTCAGACAGGCTATGGGGTGGGAGTGCCGTATCCAGGGAGCTACAATAATCCCCCTTTGCCTGGAGTGCAGGCCCCCTGCTCCCCCAAAGACGCCCTGTCCCCGATGCCATTCGCACAGCAGGAGCCCGCCGCAGTCCTCCAGCCCGCGGGGTACCCACCCGGCCTGTCCTACTGCACCCTGCCACCCATGTACCCAGGGAGCAGCACGTGCTCCAGTTTACAGCTGCCACCCATCGCCTTGCACCCCTGGAGCTCCTACAGCGCCTGCCCGCCTGTGCAGAATCCCCAGGGCACTCTGCCCCCCAAGCCTCACCTGGTGGTGGAGAAGCCCCTCGTGTCCCCCCCGCCCACCGACCTCCAGAGCCACATGGGTACAGAGGTGATGGTAGAGACCGCAGACAACTTCCAGGAAGTCCTCTCCCTCACTGAGAGCCCAGTCCCCCAGCGCACAGAAAAGTTTGGAAAGAAGAATCGGAAGCGCCTGGATAGTCGTGCAGAAGAAGGCAGCGTCCAGGCCATCACCGAGGGCAAGGTGCGGAAGGAGGCCAGAGCTCTGAGCGACTTCAACTCGCTCATCTCCAGCCCCCGCCTGGGGAGAGAGAAGAAGAAAGTGAAGAGTCAGAAAGACCAGCTGAAGTCGAAGAAGCTGAACAAGACGAATGAGTTCCAGGACAGTTCGGAGAGCGAGCCGGAGCTCTTCATCAGCGGGGACGAGCTGATGAACCAGAGCCAGGGCAGCAAGAAGGGGTGGAAGAGCAAGAGGAGCCTGCGCACCGCCAGCGAGCTGGAGGAGTTCAAGTGCAGGAAGGCCAGCGAGAAGGAGGATGGGCGGCTGGGCAGCCAGGGCTTCGTGTACGTGATGGCCAACAAGCAGCCACTGTGGAACGAGGCCACCCAGGTGTACCAGCTGGACTTTGGTGGACGGGTGACACAGGAGTCGGCCAAGAACTTCCAGATCGAGTTGGAGGGAAGGCAGGTAAGAGGGCGAGGCTGCTGGGCGTTTGTCAAGAGGCCAGGGGGAAATGTGTAGAACAGCCACTGTCTCTAGCAGGGCTTGTAGGGTTGTCATTCTCAGTGTGCCCTCTGCTGCCTGTCATGGTTTCAGCCATGGTAACATGTGTGCTGAGCATTCAGTCAAGGGAACCCCCAGGCCTGTAAAGAGAACCGGTGGGGATCTATCCGCCTCGCCTCTCTCCCAGAAGCAGATGCTCCTGCCTCTGGGTTTTTTGTTGTTTTTTCCTGCTATTTGCCATCTTATTATTTACACTGCTATCTGCTGATTTTTCCGCTTGGGCGGAATCTACTGACTTTTTCCTAAGGAACACGAGGGTTAGTTTTCTTCCCCTGCTTCCTTCCCCTCTACATGTATGCATGTACACACACACGTGCACATGCACACACACACTTTTTCACCCTTTCCCAGTTGAATCAATAGTTGTTGGTTCCTCATTAGGCCAGTAGACAGGATTCGCAGTCTGTTACAGGCTGACCCGCTCTGTGTGTCGAGACCCTGGGTCCTTTGTCAGCTCTTCCTGCTCCAACCAGGGTGCTCCAGCCTGCCGTGTGACTTCCCTCTCTCCACCCTGGGACATGCCCTCACTTCTCAAGTTTAAACGCACATTGTCATTCATTCACTCAACGAGAATACCCGCACAAGCCTGGCAATCCTTGAAGCCAGGGGTCGGCACACAGTGGCCGTGGGCAGTGTGGCCAGCACCTCTGTTTGCAAGTGAAGTTTTACTGGACTGCAGCCGCACCCATCCACTGGAGTACTGTCTGTGTCTGCCTCCCTGGCAGGAGTAGTTTTAGTTGTGACAAAGACCGTGTGAACTATAAAGCTTAAAGTGCTCCTTCCCGGGCCAGCCCATAGCCTAGTAGTTACGGGAGCTGGGTCCCAGAGGGCTGACCATGAGATTCGAATCTTGACCTGGCCACTGGAAAATCACACCAGGCACGTGTACACGCATGCCCCAAATCCCAACAGGACAGAGGAGGAGGGCAGGAACTGTGGTGAGAGCACAAGCACTCTGGCAGCTTATGGGGGAATAGCTATGTAAAAACAGCAAATTGAGGGGCCAGCAGATGGCATAATTGTTACGTCGCTGGACTCTCACATAGTCAGCCGGTTTGGGTCCTGGACCCGGCAGCTAAAAACTCACACTGGGCTGTGTGCGTGCATGCCCAAAATCCCAAGAGGACACTGGAGGAGAAGGATTACAGCGTGGCCATCCCCAGGGGCATATGTTTCTCCAACAGCACACTTGTGTAAAAACAAAAACTTTAAAAATGCAACCGAAAACATCCCAAAGATAAAGGTTATTTTACATTTAATTCACACACATCTTACTCCCCAAAAGTGATTTCTCACTTTCTGTCTCTCCAGCAAGCGCTCACGCCCTATAGCAAAAATCTCTCTTTAAAATAAAAGAAAAAACAGTAAATTTGCCAACACCTGTTCCAGGTGCCAGAATAGAGCATGAGGGAGTCAGAGAAAGTGAAAGTTGGTCCCTGACGTCACGGGGCTCAGGACTGTGGGAGAAAGACCATAGACAGAATGGCAGAATGGGATGTGGTCCCAGGAAGTAGTGGGCCTCAAGGGAAAGCAGAGCAGGGAGGTGGGTGTGGAGGGAAGGAGGTGTGATGTTCTAGAAAGGCGGTCAGAGGGGCCTTCCCTGAGGCAGTGACCTTTGACAGTTACAACCAATACTTCTCGTAAGTCCATTTTAGCCTGTAGATTTTTCTTTATCTTTCTCCTTTCCATGTACTCAGTGAAAGAAAACCCTTCACCTGACCCATAGGTTTCCTACATCCTGCGTTTTGCTCATTGTCCCCCACAGCGTGCTTGGCAGGTGCCTCTGTCCCCTTATTTCCTGCAGTCTTGGAGTTTGACATGAATGTCCAGTCAGATTCGGAGTCACTTGTTTGCAGAAGTGCCTCCGTAGCCTGTACTGGCTGCTCCCCCAGCAGCCGCAGACCTGGTCGCGCTCTCCTGCCTCGTTCTCCTCTAACGTCTTGGCTTCCCTCCACTCCCTCCCCAAGGTGATGCAGTTTGGACGGATTGATGGCAACGCTTACATCCTAGACTTCCAGTACCCCTTCTCCGCCGTGCAGGCCTTCGCAGTTGCCCTGGCCAATGTGACTCAGCGCCTCAAGTGACATGACTGTGGGGGGAAGAGAGACACAGAGGAGCCTGTGGAAGAGGCTGACGGAGGTGTAGGGAGCCGCGTGGGCGGTGCCTGCGAGGACCAGAAGGCAGCAGCGAAACTGGAAAAGCCTGTCAGGCCCAGGAGAGGGCACTGACTTTTAGTCGTCATTTATTTGGGCTTTTATTATTCTTCATTGTCTTTCTTTTCTTTCAGTAGAGTGGCATTTGGGAGCAAGGGGTGCCAGGCACCTGGTGTTCTTTCAGGAACCGTGGCTTGACTGTGGTCATGTCCTGTGGGCCTGCCGAGGTCAGTGACAGACACAGGGAGTACACACCGAGTCATTCCGTGCAGCACCGAGCTGTGCTTCTCCAACAGCACTCTCGTAAAACAAAAACTTTCCAAATACAACCAAAAAATCCCAAAGAGAAAGGGTATTTTATGGGGAGAGAGGACAGCATTTGATTCACCCATCTATTACTCCAAAGGTGACTTAATTTACCAAGGGGACCTGGGCAAATGCACCGTGTCTAACTAATAAAAGCGGGCTCTTAGCAGGGCGCCGTCACTGGTAGAGACGCAGTCTGCTCGGCGGAGGCAGTCGGGACGGGGCGGGGAGGAAGGAGCTGCTCTGCATGGCAGGGTGGCAGTGCTCTGCATGCTCCGGTGACAGCGAGGCTCAAACTAGCACAGGGCTGCTGCGCCTGAGGTTGTTCATGGTGAGAGGCTCCATTCATCCTGTGCCACGTGCCATGGCATCGTGCAGTGGGACTGGCCGTGGGAGAAGGCTAGACACATGAAAATGGAGACGCCCCAGCCCATGGTGGGGGCGAGTCACGGGATCCCACCAACTGAGAAATGACCTCTGTGCTCTCGGCCCCCTCTGCTTTTGAATCGGGAACACTGCTGTAAACACTGTCCTCTGGTTAGGTATCTCCACCCTATGGTTTTTTCTAGTAGTGACTAGATCTGAGACCACTCCTTTCTTCCTGGTGGCTGCCTTGAAGTTCGGTTGACTAGAAATGTTTTCCATTAGATTGAAAGTGTAACCTGAAATACTTTAAGCATTCTCCAGGGTATTAAAAGATAGGGACATGGTTGGATCTTTGGCACAAGGTCCACAGTCGTCTTTAAGGAAAAAGGAAAAGTTATTTATGAGAACTGTACAAATTGTTGGGTTGTCGAAAAGTCATGACATATTTTTTCTGTTTTTTCTATGCAAAAATGCATCATGACCTTTCCACCAACCCAATGTTTATTGATACTAAGGAGATAAACCGCTAGGGAAACGTTAGCATGACAGTACTGAAGGTAGTCGGTTGACTACTCTCATGGAAGAAAAGGAAACACCTAGGGAATCTTTGGCCACCTCCCCGTCCTCAGGTGGGCAGCTCGGGCGGCATCTGAGCCCCTGATGGAGCCCGGGCCATTATTCTTGGTTATTCATGCCCATGATGTCGTGTGTAGGGCAAGGGCACAGGCCTGTCTACTGCTTTGGGTCCTAAATTTGGATTTTGTTTGAAAGCAGACAAAAGGAAGACACTATCCAAAGTATTTTCAAACTAAAACATCTCTAAAATTCTGTTGGGGTTCAAAAACTTGAAAAGAAACTGGCCCGCTCCTGCCCAGAGCAAGGTGGCGTCACTCACAGCCTCTCCAGAGAAACAGCCGAGCTTAGGCCAAGGCCGTCTCCCAGCTGACCCAGACTTCCCGCTGTATACATGAAAATAGTGGGCCTGACTGTTCGGTGGGTAAAGTTTTCCAGAAAGAATTGAGCAGCGTATTCAGAGTTAACTAATTCTTTTCTGTGAGTTCCTACAGCGTATGCGGTGTCTCAGTGCTTATGGTTAGGTGTGCAGTGATGGCTACAGCCCATCTCTGTGATCGTTTAAATGCAACTCCCCTGTTTTATTGTCCAAGAGATAACTTATCTTGCTTTTCATAGTGTTCTTAGAAATTATTTTGTTACTGTGTATTGGTGAATTATACTCATTTTATTATTTATTTAGAAAACTAGTGTCTTTGTAACGATTTACTTGGTAGCAGTATATTTTGCTGCAAGTTCAAGAAATAAAGAGGACATGATAGAAGGTTTTTTTGCTGGACAATTTGTAACTTTTTCTAATTGGGAAAAAAGTCCTATTAACCCTTGAGAAATATATTTTTTTTAATTTCATGGTAATGGTTATATACAAAGGGGACTCTTTCTAGGTAATACACCCTTAAATAACAGTAGCTCTCATTTTGAAAATGTTATTTTTAATTAAAGGGTGATATGAAATGAGGGGAGACCAATTAGAATGAGACTAGGAGGAGGAACTACTAAGTAAAAGCGTTAGTTTTATAAATTCTGTTTTATTTCGGAGACCATGAAAGGGTACATGTTAGGACTTTTTTTTTAATTGCCATTTGCTCACCAGAGGTGGGTGAAAGCACCCGCCGTGGGGTATGGTCCCACCACGGTATCTTCTCCTCCATCTCTCTATCTTGCTGGGATTTGGGTGTGAATGCACAGGCACCCAAAGTGTTTTTTCAAGCCTCCAAGGCCAGGGTATATACCATAGCCGGCTTTGGGGATCCAGCTCCCTTAACCTTTAGGCTACAGGGCCAGCTCAGAACTTCGCTTACTGAGAACAACTACTGGAAATTCTTGGCATTAAATCTACAAATACATGTGAGAAGAGGCAGTGAGTATTTGCAGAAACAATTAAACTTTCTAAATTCTTAGCTCACTCCCCAAAAGGTATGTTCCCGGAGCCAGAGACACAGGCTAGCGGCCCTGATGTCTGCCTGGGAAGGACCTGCAGCAGCTGCCCACCTGCGTTCTGCTCTGCAGGGCCCACGGAGGAGGAGCTCATCTTTGTGCCAAATCTGACTCAGGCTAATGGCTGCAAGCAGCTGTGATGTGGTGTCAATTTTAAGTTAACGGTGGTAGTTTTACTTCTCTTAAAAACTGCTTTGTTTTGGCCAGTTTCCGTTGATTCAGTACTACTAATCAAAGTTAGTACTCTAAGCAGCAGAATTCTAGGTACTTCTCGCTTTTTACTAGCAATGTATGAATAATCAAGATACCTCATTGAATCTGTAAATTAAAAAAAAGTCCAGTTAAAAAGTCAGCTATATAATTTCTCACTTTTTGAGGGAAGCAATATATTAACAAATATAAAAACTGATTTTAAATTTGTTTTAGCTCTAACTTCATCAAACCAAAGGCACGGATTGTGTGCAGTATACCCACTGAATGTATGTCCTGGGGAAAACTGGGACCGAAGAAGCAGAAACGTCTCCAAGCTCTCATGGCAGAGTGAATCAGATTTTGCAGGTTAGTTCCTGGGTCACCTTCACGAACAGGCCTAGTTTATTCCCAGTGTCTCACTCGCTTTGACCCACAGCCATTGGTCCCTTGTCAAGTGCTCCAGAGGACGTGCAGAGATGCCTTACATTTATCTGTCATCGTAGCAGAAGGTCAAGAGGCCCAGGTCAGGCCTGGTCTGCCAGAGTTGCAGGGTGACCTTGGGCAAGTCTCTGCAGCTGGCCAGGCCTCCACTTACTTGTTCATCTACAAAATGAAAGGGGTAGCCCACACAATCTTTTAAACCCCCTCCAGGCTCCAACAGCCCAAGACCTCATGCAGTAGTCATTATTCCACTTTACGAATGTGAAAAGGATGTTTCAAGACATCGCCTTTTATAGTAATACTTTTTTTCCTGGGTTAATGAGCTATCTCTTAAATACAAACCAGTACTTTTAAGGAATATCTTCAGAAAGTTCACCTCTAAATGCATTTGGAATTGTGCTTGTTCTCATCAAATAACACAAAAGCACTGATTCCGGGTAAGACTGAGGGGTCTCCCTACTAGTGTGCCCTTGAGCACAGCCCAAAAAGAAGTCGCCATCTGCCCCTACACTGGAGAGTGGGTTCAGAAAGAATAAAGGAGCGTGATCGAGGCTGACCCAGTTTCAGAGATTTCTTGGAGAGTTTTGCGCCCAGCGCTGTGGAGAAGGAACCCGTTACGTCCCATTGTGGGCTGCGTGTCACTTGGCCTAGTCAGTGGTTGTGAACAAAGTCGAAACCAAATGTGGCCAAAACATTGTTTGAGCTCCTGGGATTTTGTAATAGCGCACAACTCAAAACTCTTCACCGTCTGTGTGTTTCCTTAACTCTGGCTGATAAAACTCTGAAGGATTGCGGCTTACTTTGTTTTCATTTTCTTTGGCTTTGTGCAGTTTTCTTGTAACTTGACTTGTACCTGTATTTTCTGTTTACAAATTCTTTTTAAGGGGAGGGGCGGGTTCTAAGATCTCGTTGTCCATTGTAGCATAAAAAACAAACTTTTTTCGTGTTGTAGAAAAAGCATGGGTTATGCATTTGACTGAAAAGGCACTGTATTATTTACCAAAGGGGTGTTGTTTTTGCATTTGTTTATAAATGCATTATTTTGGTACTGTAAATTTGGATATAATTTCTGAGTTTATTACTACAGGCATTTATTCTTTTTTTTTTTCTTTACCATCAGTGCGGGATGCAGGTGCACAGGTCCCAGACCAAATAAGACCACCAGCATGTTTTCTCCACCCCTGGGGGGGCTCTGCTCTGTGTGCCGCGGCTCCTCTGGTGCCAGTGTGTATCTCTGTTTAAATTCAGCATCCTGCTTTCTCTTACTTTCCAACAAGATCTGTTGAGTTTCCTGATTGCATTTTGATGAGCTCACCCTTACTGGCCTCTCTTCTTACGTATTTTGTGTATTAGATCGTGCAGGAGGTATTTTAGAAGGCATTGATGGTTTGCATTCAAAATGATGTGGCTTGTCCTAATCACTTTGTCTTTCTTATTGAGATGGATTAATCCCCTTATTTTTTCTTGATGATTTGAAGTTGTAAGAGTTGTCCAGCTATTGCTTAATAAACTTTTGCAGATCAAAAGACTCAGTTACTTGTGTGCAGAATCCAGATGGCTCTTGAGTCCTTTGAGAAGAAACGCCCTCGCTGCATTGGTGTGACCTGCTGACCCTCCTGCTGC